AGAAAGAGGGAGAGAGAAGGGAGGTAGGAGAGAATGAGGGATCGAGAGAGGGAGGAAAGGACGGAGAGAAAGTGAGGGAGAGAGAGAGGTAGTGAGAGAGAGGGAGGGAGAGACAGAGAACGAGATGTACTTACAATGTACGTCCAGTTTAACCCTGTACGATCGATCGCCACAATCTTGACACATGTAGATGGCTGCACATGATCTTTGGGTGTTTTTTGAAATAAAGCTCTGTACTACTACTACAAGGTTCTGTAGAAAAAAAGGATTGGAAATATTTCAGTCAACTTCAAGCCAGCTTTATTGCATATTCCTGTCCAGATGGACTAAATGCACATGTGACCAAGTGTGGTCTAGAGCATGTAAGACAGAACAGTTCAACACTAAACAGTACTGCATTCTAAAAGTTAAATATTAAAATAAATATCTACTAAGGTAACACTGTGTACTATTGTTCATCTACTAATAACTATTTCTTCTCTCTTCTTGAATTACATAGTAACATACCTGCATACCTTATCTACTATATGTTCATTCATGCATGACATCAGGTATGTGAAAGTGTCCTGTTTTAATATTTTCTTGCATTTCTTGTCTAACTTAATGTCTTGAATAGCAATTGGCGCTTGTCTTCATATAGGGTACAATCGAGTAAGAAATGTCTCATGGAGCTCACATACTAACCTGACTGTGGGTCTGGACAGATACTGCAGTTTCCACAGTCCCTCGAACATTCGCCGACCTGGAAACCGTCATCCCCGGGACCCATGTGGCTCCAGAATAGACACTTGGTGTCGCAGCAGGTGACTTGGAGTTGGCAGCGCAGCCTGGTATCCTCTCCCTCCAACACTGCCACTGGTACTGTGGTCACAACAGTCTGGGTCTGCACTGCTCGCAGAAGGATGAGGAACAAAACTGCAGAGCAAAAGGGATAAAAAGTGTGGTTATTGTTCAAACACTACCAGCGGGCTAGCCCCCTGCTGTAGTGGCTTGCACAACTGTGTGGCCCAAGGGCTTCAGAAATGGAGATGGGCGCCACCCCTATGCTCTGCTCACCTGGCTAGAAGTTGTAGTCCTAAGGATTAAAAGCACTTGACAAGACAAGGTCCCATGTTTGGGGAGAGCCACACCCCACGCACGTTAAAGAACCCACCGCACTTATCGAAAAGAGAAGGGGACCTTCCCGGTGTGAATGGTTCATACCTTACAGTCTGGTCTCGGGTTTGACATTTTGAAAAGGTGATAGTCACCTGTTATGTCAATCCTTCCACAAATGTGGTAAATATTCATAAATAAACAAAACAAATACCTGCAGAAGATCTGAACCTATCCAACAACAACGCCCACGCAGCCCTGCAGTGCATCCTGGGTACTTTCATTTTTGAAGGAAGGCTAGACAACAGGAAATGGTGTCGTGTCTAACGATTTTCTGTGTTTCATTTTCCATTCTGTGTCCACCTAAAAATAGAAAGAATAAACATGAAAAGGAGAAATCAACAACATTACTATATATTAAATAGTATGTATGAAACAGGAGGAACAGATAAAAACCCCTGGTCCCAAGCTGGGGTTCGAACCCACGACCTCCCGAGCGCCAGCTTCAAATCCGACGCTCCTACCGAATCGGCTAAAAGGTCTAGACCCATCGGCCGGGTCAGTTGGTAGCGCCTTTAAACCCTCCACTGTTACAGATATGTTTTTTTTACTATGTACATTCATGCACACCTAATGCAATTTAAGGTCAACATATACAATTCTTTTAGGTCCCTTAAGACCAACACCTTAAGAAAAAAACAAGTGTTATCAAGGCCTTCCTAACAATGTGTTGAACACTTGGATATCTAAAGAGTGCATACCTTGATTTTACTGAAGCTGCATTTAGTAAATCTCTTTATATTTGCTTACTCAATGACAGGTAAACTGTGTAGTTACATGTATATGACCTTTGATCAGAAATGTCCATTGTATATAGTTATGCATAACACATTAGTTTCTACAGTTGTTTGTTGCATTATTAAAATACTATATGTAATAACAAACTTCCCAAACCTGCAATTGTTTCACAAACATTTAACTTAAGAGCAATAGAAAGCAAGATTTCCGTGTGTAGCTTTGGTTCAAAATGAAAGCAAAGAATCACACCCTTACATGTCCATTTTATATAGAGTTATGCATAACATATTAGCTTCTACAGTTGTTTTGCACAATTATTATCAAATTACTAGTAACAAACTTCCAAACCTGCAATTGTTGCCTAAGAGCAACAGAAAGCAAGATTTCCTAGTGAAGGTTTGAAAATGAAAGTAAAGAATGCCACCCTTACATGTTACCTTCAGGCATGTATATATTATCTCACCTGGTTAACTACCACTAGCTTGTAAACAACCTCATTTCAGGTGTTCTTGTTTTCCTATATGGTCCATACAGACATCGTCTTCACACAGTTACATGCCCTTAACTCCTTTAAGTCTGAAGTTACAGACCCAAGAAGTTAAACTTCCCTTAAGAAGCAATGCAGCAGGTGTGGTAATGTCTTGGGAGAGGTGCTGACGTCATATCGAAACTTCTTCGCGGAAGTATCTACGTCAGCCAATCAGAGCAGGGCAACCTGTTGGACTCTGAACCAATCACAGCACGCCGTGACCAAATAAGGGTTGTGCGACCTTTAACCCGATTTTTCTGCTGCTTCGAGTTTCTATCTTTGTAGTCTCTACATGTAGGTTAAAAACACGGGTTCTAAAACAGTAAAATGTAGCCGAATGGAGAGAAGAATTGACCAGGGGAGTTTAGGCACTGTAGAGTTCATTTGCCACGTACGGCAGGTAGAATGAAATTAACCGTCCTGTGGACTCGCCCTTTTCTTTCTTCCGGAAGTTATTCTACGATCCGTAACGTTACCCCCGTAGGAAGGCCTGGTGGAGGCTTAACAATTCTTACTATGTTGGAATGAACGATCAAGACTACTACTTTTATAACTCTCAGCCTTCTTTAAGTACGAATCAAGTTATAGCTATAGCAACTACAATCCTTGTTTTCGAACGCTTAAAGATCTGAAAAAATCAATGGCAGATTTTGAATCATTGAGGAGGAGGTATCGGTTCATGATACTAGTAAACATGCATGGTAGAATGTTATTTTGGTATGTACACAACAATGTGCATTGTATGTAATAGACTGCACCTACACAGGATGAATTCTCGCGAGAATTCAAGTGGTTTCACCTGCGTTTCACCGGCGCGACTACATAAAAGCGGCCCAGTTTAAAAGGGGAAGTCCATGCCAACTAGTAATACCATAGCGGAAATACCCTATATATGACAAAACCATGGATCTTCGACTCACAAACTAGAAGGGGGTGGGGGAGGTACACAGAAGAAAAGATTAAACCATAAACATAGTCATACCAATCAGAAACTGTTTTATTTTTCCTTTTATTCTTCGGTCGCTATACGGCCTTTTTTTTCGTAAGGCTATTAAAAGGCTTTAAGTGCAGTGTTGTTGTTTTTTTCAATTCATCCGCACACCCCCCATATTTAAATAGACCGTGCCCACGTGCAAAACACGAGATAGGTGGTTTCCACAGTGCATAAAAACAGGAACAACGCATCGGTGGTTTCCCCTGAAAGCTATTTCGGAAAGTCCATAGTCTCATTGCCTTATACGTGCTTAAAACACTAGGGCCTAAGCTACAATCGAGACGTTGAGTTTTTCGATCTGCTTAGCCTTGTGTGGTTTGTATTGTTGGGGGCATGGAAGGGGACTTTTGGATTGCGAAGTAAGGCTTTAGGTAAACGTCAACGGCATAGTCGAAAATTTGGGCCACTTGAACCGATAGTTTCGTAGCCTTGTACAATTGCTTTATAAGGCCAGGAGTAAACGGACCGAGGCGTGATTTTTTCGAGCTGCTTAGCCTTGCGTACCTGCCATCATGAGGACAATAAGGTCTCACATAGACATGGAGGACGCCTTACTACATTCTGGTAAGTATACTTAGTAGTCCGTAGTAGTGATCTTAAACAGGTATTGCGTAACACCCCTCAGTTGGGTTAAGACACACGGGGGAGTGCGCTGTGCTCTTAATTGCTCCTCAAGTGTAGTAGTATGACTGCTTCCTCGAACTTGTCGGCCTCTTGGATTTTGGGTATGGCCTGTGGAAGCGTATTCCAGTCCCTGACAGTCTTTGTGAGATGGTAGTGACCTGTAGGAACTCGGGTTTGCGTGTCGCGATTGGCGCGGTGCAGGCGTAACCTGAGTTGCAACCGGTAGGGGTATTATTTTATTGCTTTGTGTAACATTGGGAGTCTATTTGCTGATAATACACGCCGCCTACGAAGTGTAATTTGGACCGTGGGAAACCACTCATGTATGTACGTAGCTCGAGCTCTGTTTAAAAATGTGTTTACACTAAGCCTCGGTTAGATTTAGAAGTGATACCCCTCACCCAGTCCCGTCACCTCAACCAAGACCTTAAACTGGTACGTACGTAGTATTCTAACTAGAGTACAGTTTACATTCGTATACTTAAGCCTTTATAAACAGTAACGATTGTAAATTTTGCGTATATTTGGCAAGGCTCTAGCAAGGACGTGGTAAAATGTCCCTGGCTCTAGACATAACAAAACAGTATTTTGTGTAGTGTAGTATCGCCTAAGGGTACGTCTTTTAGAGGAATAATGTGATTATGTAGAGAGAGAATTGCAGACCCAACCGCACACAATGATCTGCTGTATTAGGCACCATTTTTTTCGTGACAAAACAGTTAATTTTTGCAACGGCAGGCAAGACTATATCCCGACAATGCCGTCACATTTCACGGTGGTCAAATTTGGGCCTCTTTAGAACCCGAACCGTGTTCGATCTGACGTAATTCGAACAGAACGGCGTTCGAAATAGGGTCAGATTTCCGGTCGTACAACGTTCATACGACTAGTATGGGAAGGAAAGGGTGTAGAACTTTATGCGTACTGACTACAAGACTTTCTTCAATAATGTTGTCTTTTCTTCACAATCTAACTACAGGCACCAACTCAAGAATAGTACGTGCCATGTGGTGTTTGCTGTTCTTTGGCTTGCTGGTACACACAGGGAAAGCCGGTAAGGCTTAGTAATGCTTATTTGATTATCCTGTACTTTAACCCTGTGGTTTCTATAGTAATATTGGGGACATGTGAGGGAATTTTAGGGGAATTTGGGATTGGGAAATAAAGAATTTGGGTATCGCCAACGGCACAGTCGAGAATTTGGGCTTTGGATAATTGACTTCCCCTTTTCAGTGTACGAAACGTAAGCATTATCAGAGGGTCTGCATGGGGGGGGCAGGTCCGAGAAAATGATAATTCATATCCTGTTTTTATTTCCTGCCTTACGCATACCTGTCGCCATATATGGAAACCAATGGGGAGATGTACAGATACTATCAGCAAGAAATTTGCTGAAATCAATGAAAAGAGATTCGTGAAAGATCTTTTGCGATTTTTGTGTGAATAATTTATTTTTGTTTTCATATTTTCAAGCTGAAGAAATATTTGCTGATGAAGGAGGGAATGTCGTACTGCCGTGTGAAGTCAACTTCGATTCGTCAAAGTCACTCTTTTGGGAGATAATTCAACACCACGAGGACCGCAGCATCCAGATTCTTGCAAAATTTCCAGGTACAATGTAGAAATGTATATAGTCTCCAGAAAAGAAGTGTATAAAGATGACAGAAAATAAAAATAAATGAATAAATAAACCGTGCCTATATAGGGAGCTAGTTCTATGTGTTACGACAGTAAAAAAGAAAATAGTTAAGAAACCTCTTGTCTCTCTTGTCTAGTTTTCCCTTCCTTTTTTGATTTTGTTATACCCCAATTAAAAACGGGTTACGGTTAGGGTTAGGCATGTTTTGGATAGTCTCCGCGTATCTAGGAACGTAGAATTGCCCCAGGCACGTTTCTGGATACGCGTTGACTATCCATAACCGTGCCTAAGCATGGTTCTGGATAAATTTAAAGCACGGTTCTGGATGCAACGTCAGTCAAACTATATATAGCCAAAGATAGTCAAGTTTATTGCGCAACAATTGAATTGGATACAATGTATGGCAAATAACACTTAAAAGCTATAAACTATATGCGTGCTCTACCGTACCCCGATGTGGGAGTAAGCTAATATTTGCGTTTGTAAACCGACGACTGTAAAAATAACAGCCAATGTTTGCTTATATGTTTTGTGGTGGAGAAGGGCCTACTGAGAAAGCACTTTGAACAATGGGAATATACAATATGTCTGGACTAGTCCATTTTCAACAATAAACGGGGGGCTCAGGAGTTTTTTTTTCCTTAGGGTTAGTTGGCGGTTTGCCAGTGTAAGTTGACAATAGAAATGAAGGAAGAAGGCATGAAATTTCATTGACAAACTTTTGATATGAAACATGTTTTGTTTTAACGTTTGGTCCGTGGACGCCGCCATGATG